GTGATATTAGCAATTGCATTAGTAAACGTTTTCTATAAAGTGTATTAAGTAATTAAACTTTATTACATCTTACCTGAATTTTAAATATCTGAGATGATAAGTACTTAAACAATATATGATGTCTTACCATTTTACATAAGTGAAGCATGCATTAACACTTCCAATGCTTATCTTGTAACATCTATACAAATTTTTTATGTTTATATATTCAATTTTCTCACAGGGGGCATACACAAGTTAGGTTCATTAATTCTGTGCCAATTATCATAGTTATGGAGTATAAAATAAAGAAGGTGCACTTTTAACCGTTTAAACTAATTATTTATAAGCCTAGAATATTAGATAATTACAGAGCACTGTAGTACTAACATAGTTCTGTTTTTACATGCATCCAAACTGTTGCCATTTGCAATTTAATAAATATTAAATATTACCATTTACAGATTACTAAATGCTACATGGAAGACTTCAAAGTAGGTTTACCAAATCCTGAAATGCAAAAAGGGAATAGTTAGATTACTCAGACATTAATTTAATCCTTGAAGATGAAGATGTATGTTGATTCTACCTTAACAAGTTGATTGCCAACAGTGGCTTCTTGAAACTGCTGTTCCCTGAAAATAGTATCAGTGGTTTCCACTGCTTATTAAATATTATTTTTATTTCCTGCATGATTCATGGTTGCCATGCTACCTGAAAAACCAGAAAAGTCAGGGAATTCGAAAAGTGACCAAAAAAAATTCAGGTAAAAGTCGGAGAATTAAAATATTTTAGTCAAAATCTGGAAAAAGTCAATTTCATACAGCAACCCCCCCCCCAAATAGCAAGTTTTGTGCTGACGTTTAAGTAATCACTTTCTTGGCGAATTGTGTGTTCAGGCAGCTGGCACAGAGCCAATTTTCACAGATCCAATTAGATTGTCTTTTAGAAAGGCAAAGCAAGTTTCCAGCAACTTTTGGTTTCTAGTAACCTCAAGAATCGAGAGAATCGCATGTGCAGTGCATGTTGAACTAACGAAAATACTTATTCTCGTATAAAACAAAATGGGTTTAATCCTGGTATACGGTAACATGGAGGTTAGAATCAAAGAATATGTATTGTAAAGGAGAAAAACCTCTCTGCAACAGGAGTGGCTCCATTCCACCATGGAGGGAGGGAAACAGCTGCTCATGCGCAAAATATCTGTCGACAAAGCTCGAAGCCGGTATCGAAGGTCACGTTATCAAGAGTTGATAAAATGAATAAATATCATTTAAAATTTCTTGAAAGGAAAAGAAAATATTTTTTCATGCAAATAAATTAATTAATGGATTAGTTATTTTGAACAGCAACAACAAAAAAATTCGTTTTTAAATTAGTGTTAAAAATCAAAGAAGAAACATTTTGTCAAAGAATGTTTCTTCTTCTTAACATGTGTTCCTCAATTTTTTGTATACATTGTTGAGAGAGAAATTCTTTTTGCCAGGTTCCCTTGCCAACTCCCTTGGCAAATTTTCCCTCTGCTTTTTAGTGGCATAATAGCATTATGTCTATTGAACCTTTTCTTCTTTACATACATGTTTTATGGTTTAGAATAACCTCCATGTACAGTACACACGGGGTTTCGGGAGATCATGATGAGCAGTAAATGGGTCATTTTGGTGTTGGTGACAATTTTCAAAATCGTGACAAGGCCTTACCATATACTAGGATTTTTTGTTTTCTAACTGATTATGCTTATGATTTTCCTTATTGTGTAATGTGTAAGTGTATTTTAATGTGTTGTTTTTATCTTTTAACTTTTTGTTTGTTTGTTTGTCGGCATGGGGTGTGCTGCGTTAACCATGAGGCCAATTATTATCGGCCAGGAGGGTTGCAGCATACTCGTAAATTAAACTAGGATTTTACCGCAAATCTTTTAACTTTTTTTTTTTTTTTTTTTTTTTTTAATAAATGCCTTTTTTGTCATTTTGCAGTAAGATAAAATGATAGTAATCAGTCATGTAAGCTAACCATTTAATATAACTAATTATATTCACTAAAATATCATTGATTATTGTTTTTTAAGTAATTAACTTTAGTTCTATTTGTACTGTTTAATGTGGCTTCTTCTCTCTAGATATATTTATTATTAGTTAATACTTTAAAATTTCAGACAATTTTCTCTGGCATAATCTTAAAACGAATTCTAGCAGTATGATGACATACCATCACAAAATTTAATGCACGTATTTTTTGCTTATGTATGCTGCGAAATAAATCTAAAATACCTGAATTTATTTTTAAAATGTCATTAAATGGATTTCTTTCATTCGTTTAGCTGCGAAATGTCTGCAAAAAAAGCCTTCTTTTAATCCTGATTGGGCAGATTCTAATCCTCAACCTTCAGTCGGGAAAGCAACTCATATTATAATAGTAATGCTTTGGGGATATGTCATATGTAATTGGCAAATTTTTGTGTTTTCAAGTAATACCATAATTAATTTACCTCTTAGCACAGCCAACATGCATTATGTGGATAGACTGAAATTTTCTTAATACACAACCTGGAAAAGTCAGGGAATTTCGTTCTCCTGTTTGAGTTTCAACCCTGATGATTTTATGTTGCATTTCTTGAATTTGTAATCTCATCTTCACTTTTGAACCCTCGAAATTCTTCATTTTTTTTCATTTTCAAAGCTGCTGTCATTGTTATTACAAAGATGGTCCTGGTTCACTGTCCATTTAAACAACCAAAGTATATCCGCTTCATAAATATAACAATTTGAAAGAAATTAGCCTATATTATGGACAATGTTCGTAACTAATGCTGCAGTGTCCTCGACTATCCATGAGCAATTCCAAGTCGATACTGAATTTTTTAACAACTGTGCTAAGCTTACTTCATTTAAAATGAGTGGCACTGCTGGATTATGCCAAATTACTCGAATTCAAATGATAGCTATCTATGTGCTAAGGTCGCTGTATGTGTGAAGATGCTTATATCTCAAACAGAAACAAAAATCTAGCCTTAAGTTCTAGTTAATAATTCTCTCTCTCTCTCTTTTTTTTTTTTTTTTTTTTCTTCCAAAGTTTTGTTTTATAAACAAGTGCAGTAGCTTTGGCAATATCATTAATACCATTTTATCACTACAACCAAAAAGCCCTTAATCTGAATTACACTTAGTCCCTCTTTTATTCATATATATAATTTTTAATGCATTCTTGGGTATATTTAAAAATATATATATAAAGTGTGCAGTAAAAGTTTGAAATAGTAATAGTTTCATTTATTTTGTTCTAAACTATTGTGCTTTTCAACGACTTTATTTACAACTGTTGTATTATAAAAACATTCAGTATGCAGTAGTGGATTAGGTAATTGAAATAAATGTTAGTTTGTTACTATTTAAATATATTCAATAATCTATGTTTGTGAAGTTGAGAAATATTTCAGACAATTTTCTCTGGCATAATCTTAAAACGAATTCTAGCAGTATGATGACATACCATCACAAAATTTAATGCACATATTTTTTGCTTATGTATGCTGCGAAATAAATCTAAAATACCAAAAAGCAGACAAAAAATACAGATCTGCTTAATGCTGTGAGTGATAAATAATGGATACTTCAATGAAATTTGATGGAAGTACACTTTTAATTTGAAAATTTTAAGAAATTTCGTTCTAAAGATAATGTAAATCAAGATAAACCATAATTTATTCATAGCACCTAATACCAATTATTTATTTTATTTTATTTTATTTTTATTTTATTTTTTTATTTATTTATTTTTTGTAAATGTCATTGGGAGTGCCATAATTAAATTAATGAAAATTTGTGTATTGTCCAAAATTTTTCTGAAGCTTTTTTTTTTTCATACCTTAGCAATATTTTTGATGAATGAATTTTCTTTCAAAAGTGAAATTAATAAATAACAACGACAAAAATCCTGCAGGTAGCAGTTGGATTTAAATTGAGGCCTGCTCGGTTTAACTCCATGTGATGCCATCTTGGTTTGGCTATCAGTGCTTGTTTATAAAAAAGGAATTTAAATACTGTGAATATTGCTTAGCCTTGATTTCTCTCCTATATGTTAGATATGTACAGTCTTTCTTCACAATCTTTTTACATTAAGATCATTTGTAAGTATGTGGTTTTGGGTTAAATCAATGAGTCTAAATTTGAGCATTTCTCCCTTAATCATGCTTAAAATTAACATCTACTGTGAGAAACTTTAACTTTCACACGAACTCATTCCATATCGTACAAATTAAAGCAGTTATTTAACTGTGTCTAATGTGAATAATCCTCAAGTATGTTTTTTTGCTGGGGGGTGGGGGCTGTAGGGTGTATGAAAGAAACTTGGAGAAGTGGGGAATAATAAAATTTTCTAAAGTAAAGCATATATATAATAAGCTGATTGATGTATAAATGAAATAAAGTTTAGTCAAATCTTTGTCATGAACACTTTTCTTTATTATTCTACCTGAGCTAAAGTAATAGATGAAAAAAAGTGTTTTCTTTATATACAATACTTTGCTTGAAGCATACAAGAAAAAATAATACCTCTTCTTATTTGTAGTGTATAAAAAAGAAACTATTGAATACTTGTACCAATAGTATATAACCATTCAAATAAAAAGTCTGCTTAGAAGCTTCTTTTTTTTTTTTTTTTTTTTTTTTTTTTTTTTTTTTTTTTTTTGAGATTACAGATAATTTTTTTAGGAAGTAAAATATGGAACATTCAGTGCATATAACAATGTAAATATTGCTGCTAACATGCTTCCATGATGTTACATTTTAACAGTATTCCTATATTTATGTATAAGTGCAAGCTATTTATCAGTTAATAATTGCTGTTTCATTTTGTCAGAAAATCAAATCAAACTTGAATCAATTTTATATCTTTAGAGAAATCAATTTCGACAAATATCCTTTTGCTTTGTTTCATTTAATAGTAGGAGCAAAAAGTATTTTATTAATATACTCCTGTAATATGCTTGTTTTCCCTTTTAAAATCTGTCTATATAAATTCAGGACAAACATAACTTTAAGGATTGATACCACTGAAGTTCGTGGATATTTACTGAAAGCCCATGCATCTCTTCAATGGCCTCGTTTATTCAGCCGATATCGACTGAAATTTCCAGTAACTCAAATTGGTAATCGTACAGTAAGTATTTTATTAAAATGTGCCTTCTCTATACATATATATTGCTCCCTTTATAAAAATGTTAGCATCATCAGTAGGCAGTTAGAATTCCCATTCGTGAGTGTTTCTTGAGAGCTGAAATAGGAATTGAGTCCAGTTTCTAATGTGTTAGATAAAAGTATGGTTAGCCAGAGCATAGTTAAAACTGATTGCAAAAGCCAAAATTAGTGATAAATGTTATTCCAGTAAGCAAATTGGAAATGTTATCTGATTTCAAATACATCTCCATTGTTTAGCCATTTCTGTATTCTACATTTTCAAATTTTTAAAATTCATGCATGCTGTTTTCCTATCCAAATATCCCAACCAAAAATTGCAAATTATGGTTAAAAGCGATTAATTATGTAATCAATAGCCAAAATTGCCAGTTGATCATATTAATATTTCCAGCAAGAGTGTAGGAACCCATTTCTGTAAATAATCTTTCCCCTAGCAGTTTTAATATTTTAAATATAACATGTTAAATTTATATTATTAGTTGTAGTATTCTTGTTTATTTGCCTTCATGCTCTGATATTAATTAATATATTCTTTTCAGGTTAAAGATTTTACTCTTGAAAATCCTTCCAGCTTACCAATCTTAGTTCAAGTTGTTCCTCTGTCTCTTTACCCAAACCCTGCAAACATTATTAATGTTTTAAAAGACCGATATGGTGATGACTTTAGTTCAAATAATATTGTTAAGGATTCTGAAATTTTTTCATTAGAAGATATAGAAGAAAATAATGTAAGTAATAGACGTCGCACACAAGTATCTTCTTTCTCGATGCTAAAATACTACTATGAATATTTTTACATAGCTAGATAATGTTAGTGAAATTATTGTATTTTTCTCTATAATGTAGCATGAAAAGCTTGGGAGAAATGATTTTGTGCCAGAAAAATAAGAATACAGGGCAAGTCTATTTAACATGCCATCTCACTAATTTGGCAAGACATCGGCAAGCTTGCAATGGTTTTGGCGACTAAATTTTGTCACCAAAATTGACGATAAATTGTCAATAGTCACCAAACATGGCAATCATTTGGCAACGTTTTTGTCTGATCATTGTGTAACTGTAATGGGTATTATAGTTGAATAACTAATTGATCCTCTATGTAGCTGTAATCTTATTTGGCCCTCATATGCCTTACAGTACCTTTGAGAAGCAGAGAGTACTACAAATACCTCGGCGATCAGGTGAACATTTTATGACTGGAGAGAGCATTAGTTTCTCAGTTGTTAGTAGTTGTTCGGTTCAGCATTTATTCAGAGAATTGAGGTATGGTAGCACTGAGTGAGAGCTTTCTCTTTAGATGCACTTTGCATTCCATTTTGTTTAACATTCTTAGAAGTTTGAAGTGTAACTGCTGACCGTTCTCTGGAATACTGTGAAAAGCTAGCTGTATGACTATTTTTGGAAAGTTCCAGAAATGTGAAGTGCTTCTTTTGGTAAAATAAATTTTATCAAGTTATCATCACTTCTGTGTGCATTCAGTCTGTTACGAACCCGTACGCACGCAATAATATGATTGGAAAATAGTTTTGTACTTGTTGTGAAAGTATAACACATTGATTTCCAGCTACAAGAGAATTTTTACTAGGCAGTCTGGGCAAGAGAACAAACTGTATGATAATTTGTAGTTGTGGGACTTGTCTAATTTATTTTTCAGTTAGGATTGATTTTGCCTTTCCCTCTCCAATTATGATTATGTTTTCAATTTTCATTGTTTTCATCATTATTCAAGTGTAATTGAAGATAGCTGCCTTGTCAGAGTATGATTTAATGTATAGTTGGCTTTTGTGAATTTTCTGTGACATAAGCTGTTCGATGCAACTTGTGAGACTATATCTCCCCCCCCCATTTTTTTTTTTTTTCATCAAAGTGTTATAATTAAGTTTTTTAATAATAAATGATTAAATCAAGTTACTCTCTAAGATCTATTCATAGAAATTATTAAATATGTTAAGCTACGATTTATTTATTTATTTAACATGCATATATATGATAACTGCATATATGTAAAATATCAGGAATTTTTAGCCTTGTGTGCTTTCAGCTTTTAAAATGTTTTTTTTTTTTTTTTTTTTGTTTGTCCCACTATAACCTTGTATCCTGTATGTTAGTTCTATGTGCACAAATAGGGCAATCATTAATTATCCAAAAGGTTTTAGGCTACTTGGGTATTAATGATTAGAAGTTTAATATTTTCTTTTAATGGCCTTGTATGTTTTTATGTTGTAGGATTTAAAAGCTAATCAATATTTTTTCTTTTGTTAGCCTTATCTTGAAAACCATATACCAGCATACCGAAAAAGCCTTGAAGAATTCTTTGGCATTCAGTCTCATAAAAAAAGTATTGCTATGCTTTTAACACCTGGCATGCGAGTACGAATCCAAGTTGGCTTTACTCCAAAAGATGATAGTTTTAAAACATCTTTTATTTTAATAAGGTAATTTCTTACTGATTTTAAACCTAGAATTAAAGCTAACATTAAAAATTCCTTTTTTTAAATTTGTATAACCCTGCTCTCTGCAAAAAAGCTACAGTTTAGCTGCAGGCAACTGCACAAATGGCATATCAGCAAATTTCAGATTTGAATTTCTGCAAAACAATCATAGGTAGGGAAAAAATGATTGGAATAGAAAATAGTTAAACTATCTCTTTAATAATAATAGCATAATTTATTTGTCAGTCCTAAGGGGCAGTTTGCCCTGAATAACTATTAATATCGTTTTGGCATTTTGCATTGAAAACTTTAAAAGGCTGTATGACTTTTCAAATCGTTGCCACCATATATTATCGCCCTGTCTTATACTTAAAGAAATTAAATAATGAAGAATCTTCATAAATCTTATGTATGTTTCTCGCATTGTGATAAAACAACAATACCTAGAGCCATCAAAATTTAAATAATGTAATCTTCCATAGATTATGGGCATGTAGAATTCCTAATTTGAATTTGAAGTTTGTTTTATTATCGATTTCATATTATGTAACACTTCAACAAATTTTTTATTAAAAAACTAATCGATTTCAAAGCAAGCAATGGCAACACTGTACGAAAAAAACATATTTATCTCCAGCGCGCAAGATTCTCTATCGGAAATTCTAAAGATATGCTCACTTTAAAATTAATTTGTGATATTGCTGTTGAACTGAATTTTATAGTTTGAAGACATAGAACATATTTAATAAATAAGGGTAACACACAAAACGTTAAAAAAGTCCCTTTGGATGTAATTTAAAATCTGAAACCTTTGAGATTTTTTTATTATTATTTATTTATTCGTTACGATAATTTAAACTGCAAATAATGTGACTCTGAGACAGATTTCTTAAGCACACTGGTTCTACAGAAATGCTAAAATTCCTGAGAAACTCGGTGTTGAAACGCTTGTTTAATTCATGGCAAAAATTGTCAAAATATTTTTGAACAAATTTATGCTTGTTCAGAATTTTTCTATACTTATAATAAATTTTGACCCGCTTAACATGGATAATTTCAGACGGCCAGAAGTCATACTTAGGAATTTGTAATGTTTATAGCTGGCATCTTTGTACTCAATTCCTTTATTATTATTTTTCATATATTGCAGTTTTATGCCCATTTTTTATTACCTTATATCCTGCTGATAAACTTGTACTATTATTTTCTGCTTCTGATACATTATTGCATATGTACTGCCATCTGTTGGCAACCCTGTTAAAATTATTATGGACAAAGCTGGTGGTTTTTCTTTGCTGTGGGGCTAACCTCTTATGCAAGTTTTTTTACTGTCTAAAAACTGTTTGCTTTCACAAAATAAAGAATAAAAGAAAAAATGAAAATACAAAATTTAATGTTTAGAGTAAAAGCATAATGAAAAAGATGTAAATATAATAAAAATGTTTGTATAATAAAAGAAGATTAATAATAAAAATGATCCCAAAAAATGGAGTTTGGATCAATTTATTTTTAGATCAGTAAAGTGTAATATCAGGTTTCAGTGTCATACCTTGTAAAATCAGTATACCTGAAAAAACATATATTTCTTCTGAATTGGTTGGATGTCATAGGCAAGTTCATCATATCAGGTCTTACCAAACGTCGAGCATTTTTCAGAGAATGGTCACAATCCTCTTCATCTGACATAGTATCATATTCTGAGGTGTCCAGTCCTGAAGATGATGGAAAGTAAACCAAACGTTAAGCATTTTTCAGAGAATAGTTGTCGCAGTCCTCTTCATCTTACGTAATATCGTATTCTGAGGTGTCCAGTCCTGAAGGTGACAGAAAGTAATCATCTATTTCACTGTCATCTTTGTCAGATATATTTGTAACAAAAGCAGCTACTACAAACAGTAAACGAAAACAGAAGACACAGAATTAAAAAAATACGTGTTGCTCAAACAAGAAACACGAGCAATAACAGTGCAGTCATTAGTCATCACTGTCAGACATATTCATAAAAAAAGCATTTACTACAAACAATAAACGAAAATGGAAGACACAGAATTATAAAAAATATGTTTCACTCAAACAGAAACACGAGCAATAACCTCACAGTCATTACTTTCACCATTTAAGAAACATCCCCCTCTCCAATTCCCCCTTCTTTTTCTCTGAAATAGTCTCCTCCTTCGCATACTCTGTCAAAGTCATTGTGGTGTTGCATTCCAAAGCTTTGCAAATCATTTTACTGATAGCAGCACGAAGCAAATGGTAGTATTTTGGAAGGGCATGTATGTACGTCTGGGGCAGTTAAGGTATCCTCTGAGCGAGGGACGCAGCAGTTATGGGATTAATGATCTATCGTGTTGTTTATATTGTATTCTTTTCTGTCAGTCAAATTTTGCAAGCCTTTTGAAGCCAGTCACTTTTCGTCACTAGCCACCAGATGCTAAAAGGAGAACTCAACATTGCCACGCTACCTGGAAAACCAGAAAAAGTCATGGAATTTAAATATTTTTGTCAAAATCTGAAAAAGTCATGGAATTTCATATGATGATCCCCCAAAACAGTGAGTTTTGTGCCAATGTTTGAAACAATCACTTTCTTGACAAAGTATGTATCGCATGAGCATCATTCGCACAGATGGCGTAGAGCTAATTTTCCAATTAAATTGTCTTTCAGAAAGCAATAATAGAAAGGCAAAGCAAGGGCTGCCTCTACCCGAGGCTGGGTGCATTATGAATAACGACAAAAAAATCTTAATAAGCCATTCTTTATTTTCATCAAAACAGTCTTACGCTTTCGAGATCAGCTTTCTTTCTGTCTACAAGCAAAACAGCACACAGGCTGACGTCACGAACAGCAGTGCCTCACACCAATTATTACTTTAGTTCATTTCACAACATAGAGACTCACGAGTGCAGTGCATGTTGAACTAAAACAAAATACTTTTCCATTCTCATATAAAACAAAATCGGTTTAACATGTTGAATCAGTTAACAAAATCAGTATACAGTACACATGGGATTTCTCTACATTATGATGAGCAGTAAATGGGTCATTTTGATGTTGGCAACAGTTTTCACAATTGTGCAAAAACTGTAGCATATACTAAGATTTTACCGCAAAATCTTTTAACCTTTTTTTTTTTTTTTTTTTTTAATAAATGCCTTATTTTTCATTTTGCTGTAAGATAAAATGTTAGTAATGAGTCATCTAGACTAACCATTTAATATAACTAATAATATTCACCAAAATATCATTAATTATTGTTTTTTAAGCAGTTAACTTTAATTCTGTTCGTACCATTTAATGTGGCTTCTTCCCTCTAAGTATATTTATTATTAGTTAATAATACTTTAAAATTTCAGACATTTTTCTTTGGCATAATCTTAAAATGAATTCTAGCAGTATGATGACATACTATCACGAAATTTAATGCACATATTTTTTGCTTATATATGCAGTTAAATAAATATAAAATACCCGAATTTATTTTAAAATATCATTAATTAGATTTCTTTCCTTTGTTTAGCTGAAAATATCTGTAAAAAAAGACATTTTTTAATATAGGTTGGGCAGATTCTAATCTTAGTCTTTAGTGGAGTAACAACTCCTATTATAGTTATAATAGTAATTGTTACGAGACTCTACCTGAATTTTGTTCATTCAGTCGGTACTCCATTAAAAGAAACGTAAAGAGAAACTTATAATTAAGTAATACGGGCAATCCACCCAATTAATTCACTGTAAAACAGGCAACTCACCTTAATTAATTCACTATAAAACAGGCAATCCACCTTAATGCAAAGTCATGGTGCATTTTTACTTTATTTATTCTAAACATAAAAAACGATACAATGTCGCCAAACCGTAAAAATTTAACCTTTAGAGAAATTACATTTATACAATCGTTGAGTTGCTCGAGACATCTCCTCCCACCTTTTGGTTTATGGTGGGCGGAACATAAATCAAAATACAATGTACTTAATAACGAGGCTAAACAATACTTAGTATATTCATAAAAGGAAAGAAACTAATTAAAATGTGAAGGTTTTACAGTAGTTCTACCACATCTAATTTTAAATTATCTTATCAGGATGTTTATTTTTTTACTAGCAGGAATGTTAAATTGGTTTTATTTAGGTAAAACAAGTTCTTGTCGTCCATCACTTCCAAAGGATACAGTCATTGCATAGGACGGATCAATTCACCTGCAGCTATTTTCATCTTTGCCACTCTAACACAATTATCTTTACTCTGGAATAGTTCAATAACTCGACCCAATGGCCAGTCCAATCTTTTTTTGTTGTCACTTCCCACAAGTACCACATCTCCTAAATATATTTGTCTTTGAGTAGCTTTATTATCTTTGGACTGAATTAGAAGACTCAAATATTCGTCTCTAAACCTTTTTCTAAGATCTTGTCGTAATTTCTTTTGATATCTATATCTCTTAGTGATATTGACTTCATCTAAATGAACTTCCACCGTTCTTATATCTTGAATGAGCATAGAGGGTGTTAAAGGCATTAAATCTTCAGGATCTTCAGACAAATAATTTAACGGTCTTGTGTTGATTACAGCTTCCGTATCGCAGAGAATGTTACACAGCTACTCATATCTCAAACAGGCTCTTCCTAATATTCTTCTCAAAATTTTCGTAACCATCTGAATAATATGCTCCCACCAACCCCCTACCACACAGCTGTGGGAGGGATTGAACTTCCATGTAATCTTCAAAATAGAACATTCTTGCGTAATTTTGCTCCAATCGAGTGAAAAAAAGAGGTTGTTAGTCCCAACAAATTCTGTACCATTGTCATTATACATAGTTTTTGGTTGTCCACGTCTGGCTATGAACCTTCTGAAGCCCAACAAAAAATCTTCGGTGGAAAGTCCTTGTATCAGTTTAAGATGTATAGCCCTATAAACAGCACAGGTGAATAAAAGTATCCAGTTTTTCTTTCCATCCTTTAGATAAAGAGGTCCAGATAAGTCTACTCCAGTTACTTCAA